GGAGAGAGGAGGAGGAGGAGGAAGGGTGGTGGCTGTGTGTTCAGGAGGAGGGGGAGGAGGAGGAGGAGGGTGGGGGCTTGTGGTTCGGGAGGAGGAGGAGGAGAGAGAGCGAGCGAGGGTGGTCTGTGTGTTCCAGGGAGGAGGAGGATGGGAGGAGAGGGTGGGTGGCTGGTGGTCCAGGAGGAGGAGGAGGAGGAGGGAGGGAGGGAGGAGCAGGGTGGGGTGGCCTGTGTGTTCAGGAGGAGGGAGCGAGGAGGGAGAGGAGGGGTGGGTGGGCTGTGTGCCAAGGAGGAGGGAGGAAGGAGGAGGAGAGGGTGGTGGCTGTGTGTCCAGGAGGAGGAGGCAGGAGGACGGGAGGGAGGAGGAGGGTGGGTGGCTGTGTGTCAGGAGGAGGGGAGGAGGGAGGAGGAGGAGGGAGAGCGTGGGTGGCTGTGTGTTCAGGAGGAGGAGGAGGAGGAGGAGGAGGAGGAGGAGAGGGTGGTGGCCGTTGTGTTCCAGGAGGGAGGAGGAGGAGGAGGAGGAGGGGTGGGTGGGCTTGTGTGTTCAGGAGGAAGGAGGAGGAGGAGGAGGAGGGTGGGTGGCTGTGTGTCCAGGAGGAGGAGGAGGAGGAGGAGGAGGGTGGGTGGCTGTGTGTCCAGGGGGGCTGTGCTGGGCCTTGGACTAGAGGAGGCGAGGTGCAGACAATGCATCAAAAGGTGCCATCTGTGGCCGGGCGTGGTGGCTCACACCTGTAATCCCAGCACTTTGGGAGGCTGAGGAGGGCTGATTACCTGAGGTCAGGAGTTTGAGATCAGCCTGGCCAACATGGTGAAACCCCGTCTCTACTAAAAATACAAAAATCAGCTGGGCATGGTGGCGTGTGCCTATAGTCCCAGCTACTCGGGAGGCCGAGGCTGGAGAATCGCTTGAACTCAGGAGGTGGAAGTTGCAGTGAGCCGAGATCATGCCACTGCACTCCAGCCTGGGTGACAGAGCAAGACTCTGTCTCAAAAAAGAAGAGAAAAAAATAAAAGTGCCATCCGCACCTGATGCGCCCCGAGGAGAGGGCAGCTCCTGCGCAGGTGTTTCCGAGGGGGCACTGAGGACCCACCCCTGGTGCACTGGGTGGGAGAAGCACCAGTACCCGCTCTTCTCACTAAATCTCAACTCCGCTACGATTTGAGATTGTCAAGGTGCAACCTCCTTCCTCAGGGAAAAGAACTGTCAGTTTTTTTTCAAGTGACAATATGGAGTGAGATGAACACATTAAAAAAATAAGTCTGAAGCCTTTCAAAGTAAACCAGATACTGGCCATCAAAGTCCTGAGCTGAGGTGACGCCCATGGGGGCAATGTGGTCCTCCCATGAGAGACAACCCAGAACTAACCCTGAAGCACAGTTAAATCCATTTGTATCAATTAAAAGAAAAAAACCCAACTGATTGTTTCTAGAAAGTGGCTTCAATGGAGCATGTAGGAAAATTCACAACAATCATGGACAGCTTGTTACAGAATAGAAAGGATTCAGAGAACATGTCACTGCAGGCACAGACTGTGCTCCTCACCTCAGCAGAATACCCGCTTCTGCCCAGGGCAGGACCCACGTGTTCTACACCCAACCTCTCCCAGGTGGGCCTCGCGCCTTCCCCCGTCCCCACACCTTGCCTACGTCCTCCAGACTCAGGCGCATTTCATTTTTCACCAAGAGCAGCTCCGACTGCAGCTGCCTCTGGCAGACGGTGAGCACTGACATTACGCCTTCTTGCTTGCAGAGAGGTGCGTCCTCCAACGTCATCACGACGGTCTGCAGATCACCCTTGACAGAGGAGACAGACGAAAGCTGAGCACGCAGGAGGCTGCTGCTGGGGCTGCCCCACAGGTGGCCTGGAGCTGGAAGCCAGTACGGCAACCAGCAGGGATGCCAGAGGGAGGTGGCAGTGCCGTCCACAGCCAAGCACCTTGGTCGACAGCAGGCCACATGGGAACGGGGCTGAGGACCCAGCAGGAAGCTGCCCCGACCCAGGATGATGCCACAGAGCAAGGTGGACTGGGGCATCTGAGAGCAGGAGCCGCTCTACAAAGACCCAGCTGGTGTGGGCGTGGCAGCCAGCAAGTGCCCAAGGCTCTGCTCAAACACAAGTGGGAGCCTTAAAAGACAACTCTCTGCAGGGCCTTCAGCTCCAAAAGAAGAGCTTGTTTACCACGTCTCACACGTCTCACACATGTACTGCCTATCGACAGATCTTACCACATCTTACACGTCTCACACAGGCGCTGCCTATCGACAGATCTTACCACGTCTCACACAGGCACTGCCTATCGACAGATCTTACCACGTCTCACAGACGTCCACCACACGGCACTGTGCTATCGCGACATGATCTTACCCGCTACCTCACACAGGCACTGCCTATCGACAGATCTTACCACGTCTCACACAGGCACTGCCTATCGACAGATCTTACCACGTCTCACACGGATACTGCTTATCAACAGATCTTACCACATCTCACACAGGTACTGCTTACCGACAGATAAGCTATTTGATTAGAAACCAGAGAGGCAGCTCAAGTGGACCCGCCTCACACAGTGAGCTCCGTTTCACTGGACAGTCCCTATCATGTGAACGAAATAATTGTTTTTTGAAAGCTTAAAACAATAAGCTTAAAATGGCACGAAACAGTGAAATCCTCAGCCCAGCTTCACCGCGTACTGACCCGGAACAGGCCCAGGCAGGTCTGAGCTTCAGGCCCCTTTCTCTGCTGTGTCATGAGCCATGACAACTGCAGCCCCCAGTGCCCAGCACAGAGAGAAGTCATTAAAATTAAAGGAGAAAAGGAGTACGAGAGGAAGAAAAAAATACCCTGCCATGGCCTGCAGAGGGGGCCTACCTGTGGGTCAGGGACAACCGGTTCCAAAGCACCATCGTGGGAGGCCTCTATGTCGCCAGGGACCTGGGCCTTGGCGCCACCATCCACGTGAGGCTGTGGGTGGGCCCCGGGCACCCGTGTGTGAGCTGTGGTTCTGCAGGTCTGCCGCCTGTCCAGCTCCACCTGGCACCTCAGGAACCGCTGGTGCAGCACATGCAACTGGCGGCTAAGGCGGGCACACTGCGCTCGGAGCCGCTGCAGCTCGGGAGGCTCCGCCCCAGCTGCCAGCGGCTGCTGCTCCAGCACACGGCGGATGTGGGCCAAGGCCAACAGGACGGCCTCCAGCTCGGCAGAGTGGGCCACCTTCCGCTGGTTCAATGTGTCAATTTCTAAATTTCTCTCGGCAATCATTGCTTCCTTTGCTTTCAGGGCAGCTTCGAACTCCTGGATCCGGGAGGCCATGCCTTCGACCTCAGCCTCCCTGAGGGCTGCACTGCGCTCTAGTTCAGCCAGCTGCCGCTCCGCAGCCTCCTCTGCACCCTGGAGGCGCTGCTGCAGGGCCTCCAGGGCCTGGCTGTGCCCGCGCTCCTGGTCAGCCAGCAGCCGGCTCAGGGCCTCCTTGGCTTCGAGCGCAGCCTCAAGCTCGCCCTGCAGGGCCTGCCCGCGGGGGCCCCCGGCCTGAGAGCAGAGCAGCTCGCTCTGCAGACTGCCAGCCTGACTGTCGCTGACTTCATGCACCACGGGCCCCATAAGGGACAGCTCGTGCTGCAGCTTCTCAATGACTTCATGGAGTTGTTCGATTTCCTCTGCTTTCTCCTTTTGTAATCGCTTCTGGTTCTCTCGCAGATTTTCAATCGTGGCTTTCAGCTCTTCAATCTCAGAACTTCTGGTATATACGACCTGAAGAGAGAGCACATTTCAGTGGCAAATTAAATGTATCCACTTCAGAATGTCCCTGCTTCACAACGCGTTACCTCCTGAATGCATTCTTGGAGTGAAGACTCCATAGCTAGAAAAACAAAGCAGCCACAGAAGCCAACTCCCGGTCTCGGGATGCATTCCACATCTGCCTGGGCTGCTACTGGGCCCTGGCGCACACCTTGTGCTCCACGTCTGATCGTGGGACAAAGTGCTAACGCAGCCAATTTCCACACAAGGACGTCTACAGAATGATGCTTTCACCACCCTTTACATGTTATTTTGTTAATATTTAAACAACTTGATTTGTTTGATTTTCCTGAAGGTGCATTAGATTTTAGGCGTCGTTCTGACTCCAGGAGGAAAGAAACCTGGGCAGAGAATCTGCACCAACAAAGCGGTGAGCCGGGCACACTCCCCTTCCATCCCAACACTGCTCACGGTGATGCTGGTGACGCAGGCGTCTCTGCCACTGCCACCTCGGTGACACCAGGCATCAAAGTGAGTTTACTTGTGCCATGAAACATAATCCTCAGTCATGTAAGGAAATACGATTGTTTCCACTTTAAAGACAGGAAAACTGAAACTGAGATATTAAACATCTTTCTAAACCCACAAAAATAGTAAGTGGAAAATCAGGATTGAGATCTATGTCAATACAGCTCCAAACTCTATTCTCTTAAGATAACATTACTGGTAATGACAAAAAATAGAAAAATTCTAACCCATTTGTGTTCTAACAATTTTAAAACAATTTGTTATAAACTAATATGTTCTTCTAAAAAAATTGAGGGTTTCATAACAACTCCGGGTTTCTCTGGAACTACCTCACAATTACTCTGGACTGAAATGCAAATCTGGCCCACAGGGAAAAAAAAAAAAAAGGAACCTGATGAAGCTGTGGCTTTGGTTTCGACGCTGTCAGTGACACCTTCCTATGCATTTACCACCGAGGACCACCACCACGCAATTAGCAAAAGCAGCCTCCCAGCTGCGGGCTGGGAATGCCCGCTGCACATTCTGCTCCACCCTGTGTCTTACTGGGTGCAGCACCGGCCCGTGTCTCTGTACTCTACAGGCAAGTGAAGGAATTTTAAAGACAGTTCTGATTATATACAGCTTTCGCTCATTCACTAAATGCACTAAATAAACTGGAATCAAAGGGTGTGCACTAAAGACGGTCACAATCACAACGCAAATATTATGTTAAAATACTGGAACCAGCCTACAAAGGTAGCTCTAAATGTAAAACACTAAAACCTAAAATCAGTGAACTGAGGCCAGGTGCGGTGGCTCACATCTGTAACCCCAGCACTTTGGGAGGCTGAGGCAGGCAGATCACTTGAGCACAGGAGTTCGAGATCAGCCTGGCCAACATGGCACAACCTGGTCTCTAGTAAAAATATAAAAATTAGCCAGGCGTGGTGACAGGCACCTGTAGTCCTAGCTACGCAAGAGGCTGAGGTGGGAGAATTGCTTAAACTCCGAAGGCAGAGGTTGCAGTGAGCCGAGATTGCGCCACTGCACTCCAAGGTGGGTGACAGAGCAAGACAGCATCAAAAAAAAGCAAAACGCATATACAAGCGTATTCAAGGAGACTTGAATGCAAAGTAAAACTAAGAAATTTCTGAGGAAAATGGGGCTAGGGAAAGAGCTCTCAGATAGAACTTCAAAAGTATACTCTGGCGGGGCACGGTGGCTCACGCCTGCAATCCCAGCACTTTGGGAGGCCAAGGCAGGGGGATCATCTGAGTCAGGAGTTCGAGACCAGCCTGACCAACATGGAGAAACCCCGTCTCTACTAAAAATACAAGTTAGCTGGGCATAGTGGCGGGTGCCTGTAATCCCAGCTACTCAGGAGGCTGAGACAGGAGAATTGCTTGAACCCGGGAGACAGAGGTTGCAGTGAGCCGAGACCACGCCACTGCATTCCAGCCTGGGCAACACAGAGAGTCTCTGTCAAAAAAAAAGAAAGTAAAAAGTTTTGCTCTGCAGAACATACTGTTTAGAGAATGCAAAGACCAGCCATACATTGGGAGAAAATACCTGCAAATTATGTATCCAAAAAAAGTGTTCAAAAGATATAAAGAATTCCCAAAACAATACAAAACCGAACAACCCAACTTTTTAAAACTTTCTGAGGCGAGGCACGGTGGCTCATGTCTGTAATCCCAGCACTTTGGGAGGCCGAGGCAGGTGGGTCACAGGAGGTCAGGAGTTCGAAACCAGCCTGGCCAACATGGTGAAATCCCGTCTCTACTAAAAATAGGAAAAAACTACCCGGGTGTGGTGGTGGGTGCCTGTAATCCCAGCTACTCAGGAGGCTGAGGCAGGAGAACTGCTTGAACCCAGGAGACTGAGGTTGCAGTGAGCCGACATGGTCCCACTGCACTCCAGCCTGGGCCACAGAGTGAGACTCCATCTCAAAAAAAAAAAAAAAAAAACGCCTTTCTGAAAGACTTGAGCAAACATTTTCCCCACAATATGGATGGCAAATAAGCATAGAAAAAGATGCTGAAGATCACTAGTCATTAAGGAAACACAAAACACTAGGATATACCACTCTATATCTACCAGAATGTCCAGGAAAAAAGACTGGCCTTACCAGGTGCTGATGAGAACGTGGTTACCCAGAACACTCATCTATTGCTGGTGGAATGTAAAACGGTAGCACAACTATGGAAAACGGTTTGACAGTTTCTTTTAAGTAAAAGATATACTTACACATGAATCGGCCAAGCATTCAGATTAAGTATTGAACCACAAGAAGTGAACATTTATTTTCTCCCAAAAAGCTGTGCATGAAAGTTTACAGCAGCTCGATTCATCAAAACCTAGAAATTATCCAAATGTCCCCCAACGGGTGAATGGATCAACAAACTGTGGTCCATCCAGACAACACTACTCAGCAACGAAAGGAACAGACACAGGCCACAGGATGCATCAATTTCAAGCGCGTCACAACACCTGACTCCAAGCAGAATTCCAGAGAGGAGAGGAGAGGCCGTGGGCGGGCGGCCGGAGGCTGGAAGTCGTAGACGGGTTGCCAGGAAGAAACTGCACTAGGAAAATTTTCTGAGTGATGAGATTGTGGTGATTATTACAGGACTAAATCCTTTTTTCAAAATTTATAAAACTGTATACCAAAAAAACCTAATTTTATTATGCACAAAGTTAAAAAATAAAAAACTTAAAGCAATTGTTATACTAAAAAATAACAAGTATCTATAATCCATGACCTAAGGTTCTATCTGAAAAAGCTAGAAAAAGAAGAGAAAATAAACCCAAGGTAAATAGAAGGAAGCCAATAATGAAAATAAGAGGAGAAATCAAAGAAATAAACAGAGAAAAGTATCAGAGCCAAAAGCTGATTCTTTGAAAACATCAACAACATGAATAAACTACTAGCTAGAGAGACACAAGAATAAAAGAGAAAACACAAACTCACTAATATCAGGAATAAAAGAAGGGCCATCAGCATAGAACTTGCAGACACTCAATGGCAAGCAAGTAAGGAAATGGTTAATAAGGTGAACAGTTACAAAATGAGAAAGTATAGGCTGGGCAGTGGCTCACGCCTGTAATCCCAGCTTTGTGAGGCCGAGGCAGGTGGATCACAAGGTCAGGAGATCGAGACCATCCTGGCTAACACAGTGAAACCCCATCTCTACCCAAAATACAAAAGATTAGCTCAGCGTGGTGACACACACCTGTAACCCCAGCTACTCGGGAGGCTGAGGCAGGAGAATCACTTGAACCCAGGAGGCGGAGGTTGCAGGGAGCTGAGATCATACCACTGCACTCCATCCTGGGTGACAGAGCAAGACTCCATCTCAAAAATATAAAAAGTATAAACTTCTTTATGCAAAGCAATTTGACAATTTTGATGACATGCACAAGTTCCTTGAAAAATACAACTTATCACAACACGAAACAGAAATCCAAATACCTCAGTCTATTAAAGAAAATGAATTCATTATCATAAATCTCTCTAGATACACAAACTCCAAACAGCTTCATTGTTGACGCTATGAAAACATTCAAGGAAGAAATTCCAGCTATGTGAAATAACCTCTTTCAGAAAAGATGGGGGGTGAAAAAATTCCCAACCTATTTTATGAGACTAACATAACCTTCATACCAAAGCCTTAGGAAATACTGCAAAAAAAGACAATTACAGACCAACATCCCTCATGAACACAGATGCAAAAACCATTAACAAAATATTAGCAAACCAAATTCAGTAATATATGTAACATATGAAGAGGGCAGTACATCACTACCAGGTATGGTTTATCCTAGAACTGCAAGGTCAGTTTAATCTCCAAGAAATAAATCACTCAATAAAGTTAACCCTATTCGTAGAATAAAAGAGAAAACTATCATCACTATTTCAATAGATCCAGAAAAAGCAAACTAGAAATGTAATGGAACTTCCTTTATCTGATAAAAAGGCACCTGTGAAAATCCTAAAGCTAACATACCTAATGGCAAAACACTGACCACTTCCCCATAAGACAAGGAGCAGGGCAAAGATGACTGCTCTAGCCAGTTTGAACTTTGTACCGGGAGTGCTAGACATTGTAATCAGAGAAGGAAATAACAAAAATTGGAAAGAAATCAAACTGTCTTTACTTGAAGATGATGTTATCTTATACATAAAAAGCCCTCAGGAATCCACAAAGCACTACTAATATACATAACCTATGCAAGGTAACAGCAAGGCTAATAGACAAAAGGTGTATGTGTATTCATGGTAAACAACTAGATAATTATTTTAAATCTCATTTACAATAGTGCAGAAAGCCTAAAATATTTAAGGATAAATTTAACAAAAGACGTGGGAGACCTCTTTATTAAAACCTATAGAGTGAGAGAGAAGTAAATGGTAAAATTAAAGAAACATCACTAACCCCAGAGTTAGAACAAGCAACACAGGAAGGGAGGGCCCACGTTGAGGACGAGGTGTTAGGGTGGCTGGAGCCCCGGAGGACGGCAATACAGAACAAGCAACAACCACCACGACCAGGCCAGGGAGACGGGAGCTCTGTTTCCCCACAAACCTAAGACACTTCTAGAAGACAAACATCCTCACTGACATCAAATGGGGTAGAAAACGGCAAACGTGGTGTCCTTGAAAGAACTGGAAACCGAACAGAGTCAAACCTTTAAATGGAATTTTACTTTTCTTTATTATATAAAGCAAACTAAAGTAATAGCCACACCTTCACAAAAAATTAGGAGAATTACAGAAAACGAAGGATGTACGAATTTGCACATATCTGGAAGAAAAATCCCACAAGAAAATACTGGGGATTGTCCTTATAAAGCCTTCAATTCCTAATGGAACTAAAATATTGTCCTTAACATTTAACTATTTTTAATATATTTTTCATTATATAAGATTATAGTTACAGGTCAAATTCTAGAGCGCACTATAGACAAATAATACAACTTCTTTTGCAAAGTAATCAATGGTTTTCAAAGGCATTCTTTTTTTGAGACGAGTCTTGCTCTGTTGCCCAGGCTGGAGTGCAGTGGCGCAATCTCGGCTCACTGCAACCTCTGCCTCCTGGGTTCAAGCGATTCTCCTGCCTCAGCCTCCCAAGTGACTCATCAGAGGCACCGGCCACCAGGCCCAGATAATTTTTGTGTTTTTAGTAGAGATGGGGTTTCTCCATGTTGGCCACATTGGTCTCGAACTCCTGAGCTCAAGTGATCTGCCCGCCTCGGCCTCCCGAAGTGCTGGGATTACAGGCGTGAGCCACCACGCCTGGCCATAAAGGGCATTCTTCAATGTAACCCAAAAGGATATTTTTAAATTTCTGCCAAATATACAAGATACCAACAGACACTAAGACAGATAATTAATATCTCAGTAGCCTCTGTCAAAGGGAAATTAAAAGTGACAAACTGGAGACAAACTTCTTTTTACTTCTATGGTCCCCTCCAAAATTACTTTTTTTAGGCAGGGTCCTGTTCTGTCATTACGGCTGGATTACAGTGGCATGATCACAGCTCATTGTGGCCTCCGTCGCCCAGGCTCCAGTGATCTTCCCACCTCAGCCTTCAGAGTAGCTGGTATTATAGGTGCATGCCTGGCTAAACTTCTTTAAAAAATTTGTAGAGATGGGACTCATTACGTCATTGTCCAGGATGATCTCGAATTCCTGGGCTCAAACGATCCTCCCACCTCAGGTTCCCAAACTCCTGGGATTACAGGTGTGTGAGCCACTGTGCCTGGCCATAAAGTTAATTTTGTGTTTGAGACAGGGTCTCGCTTTGTTGCCCAGGCTGAAGTGCAGTGGCATAATCACAGCTCACTGTACCCTCCATCTCCTGGGTTCAAGTGATTCTCCTGCCTCAGCCTCCTGAGTGGTGTGTATCACCCTGCCTGGCTAATTTTTGTATTTTTAGTAGAGATGGGGTTTTCCCATGTTGTTTAGGCTGGTCTCGAACTCCTGAGCTCAAGTGATCCACCCTCCTCAGTCTCCCAAAGTGCTGAGAATACAGGCGTGAGCCACCGTGCCTGACTGATAAAATTAATTTTGAAAAGTATTACAAACATTATATGAGGAAACAGAAGGCTGTCATCCTGGAAAGCCAAGGTCCCAGTCAATCACAACCAGACACCATGAGGACTTTGTGCAGGAGACGCAGGCAAAGCCAGAAGCACGAGAAGACCCCCTTCTCCCCCAGCACTGGGGAGTGGCTGACCTCGCCGAGGTAAACCTGCTGTGCCTGGAGCTGCTTGCTCACACACAGGATCTCCCCTTCTTTGTTGTGCAGAAATGCTGGTGGAAATGGTAATAACAACAACCATATCAAAACAGAGCCAACAGAACCTTACTAGGGAAATGTTCCACTGACCCTACAGGTATGAAATGTCCTAATTAAATGAGCCTACAGTTTTAAATTGGAAAAATGGAAAATCAATTGGAAAATGTTTGTTTGTTTTTGTTTTTTGAGACAGAGTCTCGCTTTGTTGCTCAGGCTGGAGTCCAGTGGCGCGATCTCGGCTCACTGCAAGCTCCGCCTCCCGGGTTCACGCTGTTCTCCTGCCTCAGCTTTCCGACTGCCTGGGACTACAGGCGCCCACCACCACACCCGGCTAATTTTTTGGTTTTTTTTGTTTTTTTGTTTTTTTAGTAGAGACGGGGTTTCACCGTGTTAGCCAGGATGGTCTCGATCTCCTGACCTCATGATCTGCCCGCCTTGGCCTCCCAAAGTGTTGGGATTACAGGCGTGAGCCACTGCGCCCGGCTGAAAATGTTTTTCTACTAAAGTCCTTTCTGTCTAGTTTTCTTATGGTTGTTTAAAAATAAACCAATAAGTAAATAAAGTCTTCTCTGTTTAAAATGACGTATTACGCTAGGCAAGGTAGCTCATGCCTGTAATCCCAGCACTTTGCGAAGCAGAGGTGGAAGGACTGCTTGAAGCCAGGAGCTCAAGACCAGCCTGGGCAAGAGAGCGAGACTCTATCTCCACCAAAAAAAAAAAAAATTTAGCCAGGTGTGGTGGCGCATGCCTGTAGTCCCAGCTACTGGGGAGGTTGGGGCAGGAGAATCGCTGGAGCCCAGGAGTTTGAGGCTGCAGTGAGCTATGACTGTGCCACCCAGGCGACAGAGTGAGACCCTGTCTCTAAAAAAAATAATAACATAAAAAAATACAACGACATATTCATTTGGATTTCAAAAATCAATTACTGCACTTTTCCAGGCAATCTGTCTCAAAACCATCACCAAAAAGAAGTAAAATGAGCTCTTATCTGTTTCTCATCTTATTAACGAAGGAAGAGTTCACACAGAAAGAACCGCTCATCCCCGGGATCAACCTAAAACTCCCTTTTACTCCACACAGGTTAGAATCATTCACATGTAGCCTCGGTAAGAATCAGACATAAACGTCACCACCCTCAACTGTCTCCCACGCTGAGTTCATTCACCAAAGAGGCGCCACGCGGGCACCACACACAAGATTCTCCCACGCTGAGTTCATTCACAGAGCCGGCACCACGCGGGCACCACACACAGGGTTCTCCCACACACAGGATTCTCCCACGCTGAGTTCATTCACGGAGCCGGCACCACGTGGGCACCACACACAGGATTCTTTCTCCTACACACAGTATTCTCCCACATACACGATTCTCCCACATACACGATTCTACACAAGGTCTTTTTTTTTTTTTTTTTTTTTTTTGAGACGGAGTCTCACTCTGTCTTTGTTTTTTTAGTAGAGACGTGGTTTCACCGTGTTAGCCAGTCTCCTGCCTCAGCCTCCGAGTAGCTGGGACTACAGGCGCCCGCCACCACGCCCGGCTAGTTTTTTATTTTTAGTAGAGACGGGGTTTCACCATGTTAGCCAGGATGGTTTCGATCTCCTGACCTCGTGATCCACCCGCCTTGGCCTCCCAAAGTGCTGGGATTACAGGCTTGAGCCACCGCGCCCAGCCTACACAAGGTCTTTCAAGGGCACCTGTGAAGTTACCAACGCTCTGCAATTTTGAATATCATCTCTATTATAAACAGGCTGGTTGTGGTTTTCTTTTTTGCTTCAAAAGCACAGCTACATTAAAATAATAAACCTTAAAATACATTTTTTAATATACACCTAACTATGTATCCACAAAAATTTTTTTTTTTTTAATTAGTTTTTAAGACTTTTTTCCCATCATGCCAGTGGGAAGAGACACAGTGAGTGGCCACTTACTTAAGTCACCTCCTTGAGAAGAGCAAGCCAGCAATAGCCCAGCGCCTCTCACAGCCCCAGGGTGCTGCCCTAGGGAAAGGCCTCTTCTCAGATTCCTGACTATCAGGGCTGCAATCAGAAAGCAGTTTGGGGCAGGGGTCGCTGGCTCCCCACTCAAGATCCCTAGAAAGCTGCTTCCATGCACATGTCCCCAGGCAGAATCGGGCGCTCTCTGCAGCTGTCTGCCACGTGGGGCCATGGGCGTCTGTGAAGGCCAGAGACCCGCCTCCCAGACGAGGGTCCTGGCAGCCGCTCGGCACTGGCGTAAGCAACATGAACTCGGCGTCACGTGGACCTTTGGTGGCTTACCTTCGAGCTCACGCTCTCTTCCTGAAGTTCTCCGAGGCGGACAGCAGTCTGGCTGTTCTGCAAGTCTAATTTTAAGTTCAGATGTAGTATCTCTTCATTTTTACTTTCTAAGTCACCTTTCATCTTTTCTAGTTGTTCTTTCAAGTCCAAAACCTTTCATTAAAACAAAAGAAGTATTAAAAGTCATCTAATACTCTATTGATATTAATAATTAAGAAATTATTAAAATAGCTTTGAGAGATTTAAAAGCACATGCCTAAGACAGTTATTACTACCCTGTACCCGTATCCGCTCTGGGTCGCTCCTGTCACCTAGGCAGCCCTCTGCTGACGAGGTGGCTGGTCTGGGTTACAAGTGCCTGCCTGGTGCGTCACTCGAGTGCAGGGTGCCGTGCAGGGTGCACCTGCTCTGCTTCAGGCGCAGCTGAAGATGGTCTATGCTTAACAGCAGCAGTTTGAGGTACTGAACTCCCAATATTGCCTAAAATAGAGTTCCTTTTTTTTTTTAATAGTATAAAGGTTGTTAAAGAAACAGCAGATGAGTGCTTACTTCTGGCGTCCACATTGCATCGATCACACAGATGCAGGCAGTTGCCCTGAGCCGCCTCCGGGCAGCCTCCTGAGGGTCCAGAAGTACAGTTAGAGGACACAGAGCGCACTCCTGCAGCGTGAGAGGAGGTGAGTACATGGGAGGGACATGGGATTATAACCCCACAGGTCAGTGTCCCAGTGAGGCTTCTCTGTGGCAGATCCGGTCCAGATAAGCAGGCAATGGCTTGTGACCACTGTGTATTCTTTCTTTACTTTTTTTTTGAGACAGAGCCTTGCTCTGCGTCACCCAGGCTGGAGTGCAATGGGCGATCTCGGCTCACTGCCAACCTCCGCCTCCTGGGTTCAAGTGATTCTTCTGTCAGCCTCCGAGTAGCTGGGATTACGGGCGCACCCACACCACGCCCGGCTCATTTTTGGTATTTTTATGTAGAGATAGGGTTTCACCATGTTGGTCAGGCTGATCTCAACTCCTGGATCCTTAGGTGATCCGCTTAAGTGGCTGGGATTGAAGGTGTGAGCCTGTGCCCAGCCCTGACCACTGTGTATTTTGGCAGTTTTACCATTTATATGT